TACACCAGGATACTGTTTGTAGTATTACTGCTTGTGCCACTATCATCGCAACTGAATCAGCACTTCAATGCAAAGCAAATACTCTTTCTACTAGGTTAGGAGGTTATTATCCCTCTGCATCAAGCTGTGTCCTCCCATCCTTCATGGCTACGGATAAATCTGGATGACCATAGAATCTGTCCAGTTCTTTTCAATACAGATAAATATTTCCAAGTCTGTAGAGTAAATCTCTGTCAACACAAAATAACTCAGCCTCCACCTTCTACTGAGAAACAGCAGGACAGAGCCTGCGGTACCCTCCAGAGCATAGAATGGGAAGTGGAAGCATCAGCAAAACAAGCATTGCCCTCAGCAATGGGAATGACACACTGTGCTTCAGAAATTATTTGGGTTTTTTAACCACCTAAAGAGCCATACACTTCAGGGCTTGTTTTTGTTACTTGGGCTATATGCATACATGCATTTTAAAAGCAGCTGTGTACAACAGTGAATGGCTAGCAGTAACATTTCACATGTACTATCTAAAAATGTGATGCACCACCTCCACAGCTTCAGCTACCAGAAAAAGCAAGTAATAAGAAAAACAAAACCCACCACCCAAACCAAAACCCAAATCAAAACAAACCACACCTCACCGTTCATATTAATGTCACCACACTGAGCCGTGGGTCAGCACATGTGGTGTCAAGACTCAACACAGGCTGTGGGAGCACAATTTAGGCACCCTCCATCTTTGGTGTTAGTGACAGTCAGACAACCACAGCTTCTGGGCACATGATATTTTATTAAAAATTAAGAAGTCCAAAGCAAGAACAAAGTACGATGATGCCCAGCATCTTACTTCCTTAGTATCATTGTCCAGGAACCAGCAGACACTGGCAACCATGATGCCATACCTGAACCATATACCTGTACATACGTTATGGTAAAATGTTGTATCTAAATTAATATATACAACATGTAAATTTAAAAAAAAAAAAAAAAAAACCATAAAAAGAAAACAAGTACATTTAAGGGATGTTAGAGAGTCAAACACAAGCTGGAAGGTGCCAGAATTTCAAACAGAAACATTCCCCATGTTTTAATAGCAGTAAGAGAAAACCTAAGGTGGTCATTTTTCCCTTAATGCTGCCTACAAGCTTCCATTCTTCTTAAACCAGTGTAGGTATTCTTCTCTATCCAGAGATTTTTTTAGGGAGGTTTTTCTTGGCTGCTCGGACAGGGGAGTTCCAGATCTTAAAAAAAAAAAACAAAAAACAAAAAACCACTATCTTAAATACTTGTTTCCCTTCTGCGTACAAAAATCTTTAAAGACTGCAGAAAAGCATTATTAAAGTAAAAACTTTAACAAGTTTACTAGCTGATTAACTTCAGGTTGTATAGTCATTAACGTGTGACATTCTCCACTGAGCAAAGAAATGTGACAATGAGATCTTCCTGTTCACGTCTGGCATAGTAGCATTTTTTAGCTTTTTTTTTTTTAATTTTAGGAATATTTTATGCCACATAAATATAATACAAGGAGGCAGCTTACATGAAACAGAGCAGTGTCTTCAAGGATGGTTGATTCACTGCTTAATGCTTACATGAGCTGGAGGAAGGGCAGACACACACTAAGGCAGATTTTGTGGTTTCTTCAGATATCAACATTCCAGGACACTTCCACGCACTTTTTTGTGCTCAAAGCACAGACATTGAGATCTCTTCTGCAAAATTAACAGTAAATTTGTGACTCTTCCCTCCATGGAATGAGCTAGGGGAGCTGGGAGAGAATACTCTCTTGCAGAATACAAAAGTTAGGTGCCTACAAAGAGCACCAGGCTTGTGTCTCTCATTGATGCAGGGCTATAAATTCCAGTAGTGAGGGCTGGGAACATTTCTGTACATTTCAAGCATCAAATTTTCATTCACCTGGATTTTCTTTAGTTTCTAAAAATAAAGCCTTCTCAATGAAATTTCCACTGAGTTACCAAATGGATCAGGACACAAAATCTGTATGTTATATGTAAGAAATTACACAAAGTTACACATCTTAGAATAAAATACAATGTTAGCTGTTCAGGGTTGTTCCCAAAATATAGCAGTATCCTGAAGCATGTATTTCAACTTTAAGAGCCTTACAGTGGTGATAGTTTAAGGCATAGTATGATCAACATATTTTATTATACAAATACATTTCTGTAACAGAATTAAACATACATTTATTTCTAAGATCCTTCATATCCGCACAACATCAACTTTGAAGTCTAATCTTCCTCCCAATTATAATTAACTTTACATATACAGTTCTATGCATTTAAAATTACCTTCAGACAAAAAAAAAAACAAAAATGACACTTCAACCTGTAGCCTTAGATGCAAACAACCCTGGCAGTGTAATGACTACAGTACACGGCCTTGCAAAGATGGAATGTACCTAAAACATTTACAAATGCTATGAAAGCAAGATCTCTTTCAAAACTACAGTTCCTTTGATGAAATGAAATTCTGATCACAGAAGCATCTGGAAAAAATGTGTAAGCACTATTTACCTTACGTAACTACGACTCTTACTTGTTAGGCATTTTGCCACAAGCCCTTCCCGCTATTAACGCCCTTAAGGAGTTTGAATCTTCTGCCTCCGGAATGCACCAACTTGAAACCAACTTGCAACTGAAGACAAGAAAAAAAATTCACTTCAATTTAATTCTTCCATGTTACATTGCGGTAAAGCCAAAGTCCTATTCCTTGCTCTTTTTAAGGCACTCCCGAAGGGAGTCCTCATAAAAGATCCAGGGCAAAATATAACCCATTTAAACCCATTTGACACTTTGATGTAAACTTAACTGTTCACTGCAAAAGCCTGTCTGCCTTTACAGCCAGGAGGGTCCTGTGGACCGCAGAGCCCAGGTCCACAGATGACAAAGTTCACCTCAATTTTACAAGTTCAGTTAATAACTTTGGGCAACTTGAATTCCTACAGCAATAAACAGGCTTCAGAGCACTTAGGTATTTACAGAGCAGCAGCATCAACTTCCTTGTTAATCCCTACATAAAGCATTTTAGTTTGTCACTGCGTCATGGGGTAATGGAAGCAGAGTTTTTGTTAGAGCATGGGGGAGATGAGCCAATGCCCACCCCAACCATCACAACAGGGCCAAGCTATCACACAGTAACGTTCTGTCATTCTGCACCGAGTCACTCCTGGTTAACCAAAGTCACCCTTCTTCCAGGTAAATAACTTGCTTCCTTTTAATTACATGCTAAAACCCAAAAAGGCACCAGTTTACATTTAAGTGTTGCACAATCCACACGGTGTGAGCTTTGAAAATGGCAATGATCTATTTCAGTTCTTAAAAGAAACAAGGAAAACAGAAGAGCATCTTCTAAAAATAAAACCCCCTGATTTATACATCTGCACCCAGGTAGCAGATTTACAAGCAAACTTGTGAAACAGATTTTATTTCAAAATAAAAAAAAAGTCTGATCATGACAGTCACCAAGTGCTCAGTGCTTCCTACTGCAGCCAACAGGAGCTGTGAAGCCTCAGTTCCCTTCAGGGCACACCCGAAGTGGTACAATCGTAAAAGTCCCTGAACAGAGAAGGGAGGAGGGCAAGAGGGCAGGGAGAAAGCAAACAATTCTTCAACCTTCACAACATCACTGTGAAGAGAATGTAACATATGACAACACAAAATCTGAACATGAACCAGCAGTGTGCCCAGGTGGCCAAGAAGGCCAACAGCAACCTGGCCTGTATCAGAAATAGTGTGGCCAGCAGGACGAGGGAAGGGACTGTCCCCTGTACTTGGCACTGGTGAGGCCACACCTTGAATACTGTGTGCGGTTTCGGGCCTGTCACTGCAAGAAGGACATTGAGGTGCTGGAGCGTGTCCAGAGAGGGGCAACCAAGCTGGTGAAGGGTCTAGAGCACAAGAGGAGCAGCTGAGGGAACTGGGGTTGTTCAGCCTGGAGGAGGCTGAAGGGAGACCTTATCACTCTCTACAGCTACCTGAGAGAAGGTTGTAGCGAGGTGGGTGTTGGTCTCTTCTGCCAAGTAACAAGGGATAGGACAAGAGGACATGGCCTCAACTTGTGTCAGGGAAGGTTTAGATTGGGCATTAGGAAAAATGTCTTTGCTGAAAGAGTGGTCAAGCATTGGAACAGACTGCCCAGGGAAGTGGTGGGGTCACCATCCCTGGAGACGTACAAAAAACATGGAGATGTGGCACTTCAGGACATGGTTTAGTGGGCATGGTGGTGTTGGGTTGACAGTTGGACTTGATGATCCTAGCGGTCTTTTCCAAACTTAATGATTCTATAAAAAAGAAATATTGCTGCAACTGGGGTTCAATACACTCCGCTTATACTGAACACTGCTAATCTCTTAGTACAAAGCTGTAGCAGGTAAGACACCTGGTATCACTCTGGGCATTCTATACAGAAACTTTGGTTTTAGTGGGTGCTTCAAGGTATATATGGCCATCAAAACATTTCTGAAGGGAGCAACAAAGGAAGTGAGCAATTTCTACAAAGAGAAAGCTACAAAGGATTTTATTTCCTTCTAAGTATTTGTAATTAAAATTATTAAATTTTAATTAAATTATGTCTAAAAAGACAACAATGTTATTTCTAGTTCAGTACTCATAGTTACAATGACTGGTGCCTGCCCCAGGTTCCAAGAGAGTTCTCTCTAGTTTCACTAAGACCACTTGAAAAGCAAAGAAACACTAATTCCCTGAATGCAGAGTGAATAAATGCACAGAAAAATATCAGAGGATGGAGATGCCTCCAAACTGCAGTGACACATTCTTACTCTCCTAGCCCCTGGTATCACACACTGGCCTACTTTGGCCCCACTGGGGTTTCAGGAATAGCCACAAAGACAAAAACTTGTCCCATTTAGTCTTGTACTGTACTCCCTGCAGGACTAAAGCACACTGGTTTTAACAGACAGAGTTGAGAGCAGACATACCACCTATCATCAAAGTGCACTGTCATATAAACAAGAGGTTACAAAATTTACAGGGCCAAAACAAAAACTTTTATTAGCAAACAAGTAAAGATTCATCATCACTGGTATTGATTTCAGAGAGGGGAGTAGAGGACTCTAACATTGGCACTTCCACAGAATGGCAACAAGCCGCATGAATACCCAAAGGCTCCTCCCGGTATGAGTTAGGGCAACATCGGTTTTGTCCATCCACTTGGATATGAACACGCATAGGGCTGTCTGGATAAGCAGAATCCCACTTTTTTAAGGGTAACCTACATGGCTCTTCACTCAGTGGATGACTTCTACTTAAACTGTCCTCTGGGACAGTCCTCCTGGATGCTGACCCTCCATGGAGCGCTTCTGTAACACCTTCAGATAAAGGATCTCTGAAAGCCTTTCCTGAATCCGCTTTACTGGACTGCTTAAGCTCACTGCCAGAGGTCTCAGCACCTAAAGATTTATCAGTGCGTCCAGCCTCAGGCTCTGCATGTGCTGCTGTGCAAGTATTTGGCAAGACATTTGAAGGCGATGGCTCTGTGATTTCAGTCTCGGGCTGCAAGCTGCTACATCCAGCTTCTTGTAGGCCCCTGGCTTGGCCATGGGCATTTGCCTCTAAGCTAGGTCCTTCAGGGGAAGGTGGAGGACTCCGAATAGTCCCGTCAGCATGGTTGATGATTCCATCACCCAGTGTAGTCTGTGAAGTGCGGGCAGGCGTCAGGAGCGGGATCTGTCCTCTCACCCGAGGTCTGTGGAAGAGTCTGTTCCAGAGCCTGCCCAAGCGCCGCCGAGATGAGCTCCGTCTTGATGAATGTCGTCTCATCTGCCTCCTCATGGCTGTTCGAATGTTCTGCAGCACAGAAGCCTGCAACACAGATGTAACGAACTATGATTTCACACATACTCAAGACTTCTCCTAAACCCTGTTTTTTCCACTAATATCTCCACCTTACCAGGATTCTCAGACTTGATCCCTACACTTCCTTGTTAAATGCGTATTTTCTAATGAACTATTTAAGAATGGCAAAGACAGCTCTACCTGTACCAAAAGACTCTCTATGAGTTTAAGCTGTACTTGTCTGCCCAGGAAGATTCTCCACTCACGTGATCACATCACCACTAAAGAACCAGACTGAAGACCACTGAGTCCTCTATCATCAGCAATAGCAGAGGATCCTCAAAAGCTGATGACTAGCAGAGAAGAAAGGCCAAGGCAAACTATTACTCCACTCGAGTAACAAACCGCAAGTGCTTTATCACACTAGGAACTGTAGCACAGTTGGATACCTTCAACAGGGCACAAGAGATTTTTGAGAACTCAGCAATCAAATAGAAGAATGACTTAATGGCTTCCCAGTGTAATGTATTTGTAAATGAAAAATAATCCCAGAATTTCTCAAAATTACTGCTAGAGACCTTACTTTCTTACCGCTTCAGACACATTTAGAGTTTCAGCTCGAAAAGCCTTTTTTCTGTTTACTTTCTGACCTTTCTCTCTGTCTCTGTTCATTCTACCTTGATGTAGAGCAAAACAGCATGTGCTTATCTCACTGCTGTTCCCTAGCAAATACATCTAACGAGTTCAAAACTACCCAGAGTGCCAAGACGCGCAACTGTGGTTCTTCAGCTCCAAGTACACACTTTCATATGACTTCCATATAATTAGCAAAACTACTGAAAGAATACAGTTCCAGATTGATTCTATCTAATTTATAGCAGTTTGGCTGCTGATAGGTTCATTGGCACTCCTGTCTCCATACCTGTGATGCATTGTACACAGGGAAGTCTTCAACTGGGGGGATAAGCCCTTGTGCAATCAGCTGCCCGTAGGAAGGTGGAGCTTCCCGCCGCACAAACTCTGCCTCAAGTCGCGTCATCTGGGTCTCAAATGCTCTGGAAACAGAACCAGAGGGAAAACACGTAAGAGAAATAACAGCCAGTTTGTCCTGCCTCCCTCACATTTATATATAAAAGCACTGCAGAAGGCTTCACACTAGCATCAAAACCACAAACCTTCAGCTAGGCTCAGGATGCTAAAATAAACAAAAGGAGTAAGAGTACAGGGTATAAGCATCAGTAAATCAAATCAGCAAACTCTTTGGTGTGGTCCCAGGTTGCACTCTGCAGCAACAGAAGTTTTTTCAATAGGCCAGCTTATGCAAGTAACAGTGACAACTTGTTCAGCAAGAGCCCAAAGGTTATTTTTGGAAAATACAACATTAAGAACTGGAAACAATCACACAACAGGGACTGCTTGCAGCTGCAGAGAGCTTTGGCTGTCCTGCCAGAACCGAGGTACCTAGGTTCCCAACATCGCACGGTGGCTGGTTTCCAGCTCCTTAATCATGCAGATTTGATCAGGAGAGAATGTAAAGCACACTGTGCTGAAAACAGAAACAGTGTCAGCAGCAAGGCACAGAGCTGCTGCTGTGACAAGAGACAGGCTTCAGAAAGTCCCTTACAACTCTCTCCCAAAGGGCAGAACCATGCTTGTACAAACAGAGACATAGAAACACACAGAGGCTGTCCAGACAGCAAGGCATATAGGACCAGGCTAAAGGGGCAGAGCTCACACCAATGGGAACAGCAGAGGTAAAAAAAAATGCTCAGAACAGGCCCCACCACTGCAGGACATTGCTTCAAGTAGAACCGAGAACGACAGTGTTTGGGGAAGGCAGGGGGAAGAGTTATTCAGTTCCGTTTCAGCAAAGACTTCACTGTAACAGTTCAGCATTCAGTTTTTTGGCAGTACAAGGTGTTTGTTGCAGGAGGAGGTGGAAGAGGAAACTGCTCAAAACAGTTTTGATTGAAGTTAGATACAGGTTCTGCCAGGTCGCACAATAAGTGATCTGAGAGATCATAGAAGTGCCGACATTCCCCTCGCTACTTCTGAAAATCTTAAGTACTCTTCTCTAAGCCTAATTCAGTGACTGCTATTTGTCATCAATTCCTTGGACTGATTTCACAGTATTTTGCAAATTCTCTGGTTAACAATTTACTTTCTTTCCTTTAAACAAAAAGAAAAAACCACAACAGCTATTAAAGCACCATAAAAGCAAGATACTTACCTGTACTCCCTGGTCCTCAGGGAATATAATTTAAATGCACAACCCAGTGCTATCACCAGCAGCAAGCCGCACACAAGACTCCCGATCAGAGCAGCTGTGATGACCTTCCTGGGAACGATCACCAGGCAGTTATGTTCATCGCTTCCATCCTGGCAGTCTTCTTGGCCATCGCAGCGCCAAGTCTCAAAGATGCACAGATTTGTACCACAATGGAAGTTTCCTGGCTGGCAAGTGAAGCAGTTTTTTTCATCCGAGCCATCTGGGCAGTTCTTTTGGTTATTACAGCGGTCAAGTATCGAGTAACAAAGCCCGCTGTTTCCTTCACATGGGTATTCGTTCTTCTGGCAAGCAGGACAGTTCTCCTCATCCTTGCCATTTGGACAGTGCCACCAGCCATCACAATGCTGCTTATCTGTGAAACATTCCTCATCACTTCCACAAGGGTGTTCCCAAGGAAGGCAATAGCCTTTCACCTGATAGGTTGCATTGAACCCATGGCCAGTGCTCTTGGAGCGGGCATGATATGAGACAGTGAGCTGGCCCTTTGATGACTCCACGCTCACCGAATGCCTGTTGTTGTGGTACGAAAATGTTTGCATTAATTTATCACCTCTCTCTCCGATGCCATCATACACCTTTACGTAGTCGTTGTAGCCTAACTGCAAATCAAGCTGCAACAGAACATGGCGATTATCTTGTGTGTCCACGTACCATGTGCAACGAAGGTCTGACCTGCTGTGATCAGCACGGAATAAGTCTGGGGAAGCAAAAGATCCATAGAAATTACCCAGCCTTTTGCCACAGGAAAGATCAGGACAATTATCTTCATCTGAACCATCACTGCAGTCCTTCACTGCATTACATCTCAGCTCATTCATCAAGCACTTGGTGGAGCGGGCTGCACTGCACTGAAACATTCCTGAGGGACAGATGCTGGACGGAGGCTCTGTTGGAGGGACAGTGCAGTTTCTCTCGTCCGAGTTATCACCACATTCATCCATGGAATTACACTTCCAAGTACTGGGAATACACTTTCCATTTGCACAACGGAATTCATCTGACTGGCATTCAGCCTGACCTATTTTCCCTGTGAAAGAGGGCACGGAGAAAAGTCAGTATCAAAACTTTTGTAACCATCTGATGTCAGTTTTTAACGTTTACTACCCTGCATGTCACAAGTCAATTGGTCAGGCCAGTACACTTCAGGAATACTCTTAAAAAGCCAAGTGGAAATTATATCAGTGTTACCACGCTAACACCTTACAGTCATCGAGACCGGCCCAAGACTCCTGACAACAAAAAATACTACCATCTTCAAGTTTTGCCAGGGGGAGTATAAGTGAAGCCAAAAAAACCTGTAAGGTTTTACCTCTAATATAAGAAAGGCGAAATCCCTGAGCCTGTCCTGAACTTGATGCATCTGAGTGAAAAAATATCCAAACATGGTCCCTTGCAGAGATGAAAGATGGAGGTATGGAAGATCCACACACTTTGTACTCCTCCCTCTTGGAAGAGGGGCCAATCATCAGCCAGTCTACTGCACATTTCTGAGAGTCTTCCAAATCGAAGTTCTTAAAACTGTTAGCAACAAAAGAAAACACAAGTTAGAAAGAGGACATATATCTGGAACAAAGCCAAACAGAAAAAAACAGACTTTAACAGTTGACTTTCTGCACCAAGCAGTGCTGACATAAAGAGATCACATTCAAAGATAATGAAACACCTACAGTATGTTGTGTACACACAAACAGAGCACTCAAATTCCCCCAATTTGGAAAAGCACCCATCTCACAGGCATAAAAGCACGCCAAGTAGCTCCAAAAGCTGACAGAATGATTCCTCTTTTACTTAAGAGTCCTTAAACAAAACTACTTCCAAAAACTACAGATATGGGTAAAAGCAGAATTCCAGAATACATTATACAGAGGGTAGATTAATGTCAGCAGTCTTTTCCAACCTTAAAAGCTACAAAACTATGGGACAAGAGGGGAGACTACTGTCTTGGAAAAAAGAACAATAGGGAGCAGTAAAAAGAACTCTAAAGAGATAAATACGAGAGACAAACATCAACTCTTCAAGATATGGATAGGCAGGGAGAGGACAAGAAGAGAAGAGGACTGCAAGGGGTGGAAATTGAACCTAAAGTCTAACACTATTATTTTTTAATTCAAAGATTAAAATATTCCCTTTCTGGGAACACAAACGCAGAGCAAACAAGCCTGTAACCTTTTACAGTCAAACCTCCAGCCCTTCCACTGACCTGAGCCCAGTGATTATTCAATAATAGTTTACCTAGTGCCCCAATTGTTTGCAGAACTCTGAATGCAACCAGATAATACTCCCTAACCTGTAACTCAGGAACCATACAGAGTATTTGTTCAGTCTGATGAAACAGATTACATTTGCATTCAGTAACCTGCAATGACAATAGCATTGCAAAAAGACGCACACTAATTAGAAAAGGGCACATTGTTCAGGACACTTAGAAACGAATTTTGGTCCTCTTTCATATCACGCAGATACACAAAATGAACTTGGTAGAAGTTTGTGCATGCTCCATGCAAATATCTAGACAGAAGTTTCAGAAGGGCTGAAAAGCTGCTATGAAATACAGACCTCCTTCCACAAAGGACTTCTCACAAACATAAAAGGCGCAGTCTTTGAAAAAGATAAACAGAAAACTAATTTTCTGATATCACTGTGTATTTACAAAAGGCTGTCAATGCCTGCCAGATCTTGCCGTTTGAAGGTGAATAAAGAGCAACTGCATAAACTACCCAATTCATTTAAGCAGGAGACCCACCCAACCTACCTGTAGGTTCTGCCAAACACATTGGCTTAATAACTCTCCAGAAAAAAAATTATCAGCAAGAGAATGAGAAGTAGGAGAGCACTGAAAGTGTTAAATTAAAATGGAAATTAAGATACGTCCAACAATGTATGTGCAGACAAGGACAATCCACCCAGAAATATGTCCTTCCTCTTGTCTAACTCTTTCTCCCACCATGCTCTATGTGTCTTCCCAGCTGGGGAGAAATATTTCCACAGTACCTAATTCTTTGCTGAAAGTGATCTCATCACGCTTCTCAAAACAGCACATTTTGCAAAGAAATTTTGGATGACTGTGCGGTCAGAATGAAAAGATTTAAGTATTCAGTCAAGGTAGGTAAACTAAAGAGTATCTCTGTCCCAGGTGTCTGCAAAAAACTTTTTCATGATCAAGAAAGTGTACGAACAGGCACTACAGCCTGCAAAAGAATTAGACAAAGCATCAGTGACCCACTGTCAGTCTGTTGCAAGAGATGTGAGACAGCATTACTGAGCTACCACATTGGGTTTGCTCTCTCTAACTCATTTTGGCACCAGACATCAACAAGGGTTTCTATCATCTACCTGGAGGATTGTTTCTAGGTTTTCTTTCCATAGAGACTTTTTGGCTAAGTATTAGAAACATCTATCAGCCCAATAACAAAAATTTTTAAGAAACAGTTACTGAATGAAGAAATGGAAACTCATAACTGGTAAGGTAGGGGGGGTGACTAGAAAACCTTCTGCTTGTGCAGTACAAAAAAGATCATTCACTAAATCTTCTGATCTCTTAACTTCTATAGTTATTTTAGATGTACCAGGACCAACCTTAAAGAGCTAAACAACTTGTTCTCCTATCCTACCCAGTTTCCAGCACTCCAGTCGAGTCCCACAGCCACTCATTTTCCCCATTCTGGTGAAAAGAGCTACTTTTGTCTATCAGGTAAATAATTCACCCACCAGAGCTGTTACACAACACAGGCTGCACACACCCAGGGGAGAATTTGCCTATATAATAAGCTGTCTGCACCTTACATTAAAATGCATTTCTTTTAGGGGGGGGGCAAGCTTTAACACTTTCAAGATTCACACAAAGGAAGAGTACAGAAAAGTCAGCTACACACATGCCTTGTTTACAAACTCCTCTGCAGATGATAGCGACACCTCTGGAGAGCCTGCGTTTGTTTATAATTACCAGTATCGTCTACTTGCACCTTGAGAATATAGTATTGTACGTTGCTAATAAAGGACTTTTTTTGGTTTGTTATAAAGGGTGTGGAAGAGGAAGAAACTTTAGTCTCACCTTCCAAAGCGGAAGCACAGGCATACAGAGGATAACTTGATTTTCCTGAGCATCAGTTGTGGCTCTGAAATAGATTCAGAGCAGAATCCAACACTTCCCCACTAAGAAATCCAAGCTTTAGCCACAAAACCAACTGATTACAAGGGTGATGAGGCAGAACAGACTTGCAAGGAAGCACCACCTTAACGGCCTCCCTGAAAACACCGTGCCTCTCAGGGATGCACAAGCTACCAAAACAAATGCCTTGGTAGCTGAAAAAGGGCAATACAGAATACTCATAAGTAGTAACTCTTTTTAAAAAACAGTAAGTATCTTAATCACTGGTGCCTAGGAGTTTCCAACACCACTGAATAAACACAATTTCTTTGAAATACAGAAGCTCTAGTTCTGATATAAAGTTTTATATATAACAAATACCACAGTAGTGCTAAAATTTCTTCTTATAAGGCCAAAAGCAAAGTCAAAGCAATTGTGCTCTACCTCATGTAAATTAATTAACAGACATATTTTGAACAAATTTTGCTTTGGTTTAGGCTTTGTCGCTCCACTCCAGCACTCTTTCAAGTTATATTGTCTAAACGGAAGCAAATTTTGTCCCATTTAAATTGATGGTGATTTTTACTTAAGACCAAAATCATGATCTATTTGAGCAAGCCATCAACCAACCTCACCACAAAAAACACTCCTTTGTAAAGAAATAAAAACCAACATGCATACATATGTGTGCGCATATAAATATATGAAATTGATTTTCACTTTATAATGCATTTGGAACAACAAGGTTTTGTGCAAGAAGTTTCTGTCATACTAATCTGACAGTAAATAGCCCACTGATTTATTTTACCTAAGAGTCCTGAATAGTGCCTTCAAACTCTGCTACTTCACTTCTTTCACCATCTGTAATTAGATCTAGCACTGCTGCTGTTACAGTCTTCTGAAGAATAATCTAATCCTTCTAACCACAAAATAGAGCACAAAATAGACATTTAACTTATTCCATTGAACTTTCTCAAACTGGAATGCAAATTCTTCTGTCAAAAGGATTAGCCCAATGGTTGAATGACTGAGTGTATGCAGTGGAAATAAGGGACAAAGTCTTGTGCTTGTAAGACTGTACAAACATCTTACAGTCTTTGGAAAAGTACTGAATAAAGTCTGTAGTTACAGTTCTTGAGGGAGGTCTCAGGTCCTTTGTAGCCAAACCCCATGTCATTTTCTGTAATTCAAACAAGAAACAGAATCAAGTCGTACTGAAATACAGAGTACTAATGGTTATGTCACCGATGTGTCAAACAGTGCCCATCAGCACTGCAGTATTTTTAAACATCTTGGGCAGGAAAGCACAGGGTTTGGGAGGAAAAGCAAAAGAAAGGTTGGTTCAGTCACTAACCCCCTCCAGCAAAGCATGCGTCTGAAGGAGTGGGATGTGGACCCAGAGGCCTATCCTACCACACGAGCTGCAGTGCACAGTAGCACTAAACTCCAGCCCTTGCACCCCTCAACTACAGCCTTCCCCACCACACTGCAGCTGCTCCTTGGGATGCAAACATCTCCCTTCACCCACAAGCTTCACTTATAGGCAACACTCCTCTGCTTTGGCACCTCAGCACTTGATGACGAAGGGAAGGAGAATCCGGCTTTTTTTCCTCTCCATGACAGGAGCACACAGCCCTAGCTCAGAGTGCAGGGAGAAGAGGAGCACTCAGGCACAATACTGCAGGAGTCAAATGCTCATATTTTGAGCACTCAGAACTGCAATATTAACAAAGTACAGAACCCACCACTAACACACAGAACATCCTTTAAAATGCTTTGTCCCTTAGGCTATTCTCACTACTACCTGTAATCTCCAACACAATACAGGAATAGAGAAGGAGACTGGTATAAAAAACCAGACTTATTGGACCAAATTTTGCAGGTTTTGTTTCTTCCGAAAGATGCTATTCAAAAGCTCTAACTCCAGTTATCTTGCTTTTGGAACACCTCTTCCGCAGCTAATTCCTTTTAAAAAAATCCCCTAATTTTATACAAAAGCACAAGAATAGTCTATTAAACACTGGAAGCGCTCGAACTCCGAGAACAACTCAATCTGAACTGCCAAATGCAGCACTAAACCTGTTTTTACAGAATTCTACAGAAATAAGTAAAATCATCTGATTTTTCCTTCAGTGGTATGATACTGAAACAAGGTTACCTCCAACACTGAGCAGGACTCCAGGAGCTTACAGAAAATTACAGGATCAGCTATGTATCAGATCTTGCCTATACAATTAGTTGAAGCATTCATTGAATAAAAGTAATAAATGAAGCAACAGTAGCCTACAATTATATTTTCCTATTAACTGTCAAGTATTTTTACGTTGCTAGAAAGAACATCACTAAACCAGCTTATCATAAATACTCATGTACTATGAGTACAAATCAAGTAGTTTCCAAATACACTGAAAATATGAAAAAAATTTGCTACCTGCAAAACTAACACTTAGCAGAGCTAAGCTTTTTGCCATCTGCACTGAAAGAAGCAGTAGCAGCTAGAAAAAAAATGTACTTCTATAAATAATGTAGGGAATTCCCTACAACCCTCTTAGTAATTTAAGCACGAGCAACTACAGATTCAAGAAGAAAAAAAAACATTCTTAATAACTGGAAAAGGACAAACATGGGATGATCAGGAAAATGAACAAAAAAGGGGTAAACTGTTGGAGGCCCAGTAGATGTAAAATCTGAATGAAAGTAATTAGTAAATAAATTTAAAAAAAATGTCCAATTGGGCCCTCTAAATTAATTAAAAAATTAGAGAATAAATATTATGGGTAGATCAGTAGAGCACAGTCCCAAAATAAAATAGACCAGCCAATTAAGCAAGAAAAGTTACTTCTATTTGCCAGCCTCTCACAGCAAGTGCAGACTGTGAACAACTGATGACTTAATTGGCTCATTAAAAACTTCTTCGTAACCACTGAAGCACAAGGACCTGGAAGTCAGGAAAGCTCTATTCTACTCCCAGCTCCCAAGCACCACCTAACTGTGAAACCTTAGGCAAGAGACACAGGGGCTGTGTTTTCAAAAGCTGACATATACAACTGAACGAAATAAATGGCTATTATGAGTTTTTTTCAATTAATGTCAAGTTCTGAGTTTGGTAAATAGACTATGAAGCAGTCCCTTTAATTCTTCATACAATTACAGACCAGCAAGCCTTTACATGAACAGGCCTCAGTTTTACTCAGAAATTGAAACTCAGATGGTATCTGAAAATTTCTTTTTTCAAAGCAAATGACATGAATCACTGAAGTGAAAGCCAATGAAGGTGATACCCCCCGCCTTAATTAATAAGACATAGCTTGAGTGGATCACCAAGCAGATGAGTTTTCAATACTCTTATCTTGAATTCTGAACATGGATAACATTTTACTCTCAGTCCCATAAATTCCTATAATAAAATGCAATTAATTTCTATTCTGCCCACATCAGGTTAACTACAACGACCAGGTAAAGGCAACTGCTAAACAAAAACCATTTTGATCTTTTTCTCAGATAATGAGGAAACATACACACACGAAGCCTGTAAAGGATGATACAAAGGCAGTTACTGCATATAACATCTTTATCTGATCTTACAGGATTTTTATGTGGTCCTCTGTGAAAACAGGCATAAAAAAAGAAAAAATGGGTGGAAAAATCAAGTAGTTTCCAAAACAATAACTAACAGACTGATTACCTGAATCTAAAGTGGCACAACATAGCCCTGGAAAGCAGTAGCTACACATTTGCTCCCAGGTCTCAACAGCACCATTCCATCAGACACAAAAACTTGGAAGACAGTCTTGAGACATGCATAATTAACAGAGAGGTATAAGCACAGAGAACATATATTTCCTGTTCTTGTGAAGTCTCCCCCAAGGATTTCTAAAAAATAAGCTATAAAGCAAATCAGAAAGAATGGCAATGTGAGGATATGAAGAAAATCAATACACACACATGAAAGGTAGATATCGGGACAAAGCTTCTAAAGGACATGCCCACAGGAACCAGCATCTTACATCCACATGTAGATCTGGGCACTGCTTTACTGAAAGCTGCTGAATAAAAGGTTTATAAAAAATGACCACCGACTGCAAATGTTTCAGAAATCGAAACTACTTTGAATTGCAATTTTATCCCTTAATGACTCAAATATGATACTTATATAACATTGCTGTCTTACTGTCAATGAGACTTCAAGATCAAAGGAAATGCATTCAGCGTAACATAACACAAAGGAGGCAGGGTTTTTTTAAACCTTTCAAAATCCAGATGTTATCACAGGAACTGTCTTTGGTTTTCCTAGCAAAATTAAAAAAGCTACTCTTTTATGCCCTTATCAGCACACTGTTAGGACAAGAAGCATACCCAACTGTTAAGAAGAAAAAATGTTTGCATTTGAACCCTCTTTCCCAGTTAGTCTGTATCACGCTAGCCTAGGCAAGTCAGCTGCTTCTTTTATGTCCTTGGCATTACGAGGGCTGCAGCCTTCTAAAGAAATCTTCCAGTGCTGTAACATTTTGCATTTCGTACACTGGAGTGAGTCATTCCAAGTACATTTATAGTCAGAAATGTAACACCACAATGCGACTCCCTAGGATGTAAACACACAGCTCCCATTGTTTGCATGTGCACAGGAGGGCAGGATATGACAGTGACAGAAAACAAACCCATTGAGAAGAAATCTTTCAAATCATATTGCTCTGCACACATCTAAACTGTACACACACATTATTACCAGCTTCCTCATCTTACTTTCCTTTATTTCTTTAGCCCCTGTTACACTCATTCTTGCAGAAGGGAATCCTAATTCTAACTGGGAGCTCTGAGACATTTTCGTAGCACAAACTGCAGTACTACTCTCCAGAGTCAAGTCCTGTGTCTCATTTGTATGTTTCCTCAGAGCTTCCAACAATCTCTGCTTTGAAACAAATTCCCCAAGTCCAATACAATTTAATGGGGTTTAAAAGCATGTTTCTATTTATGGATCTCAAATGCTGGCAGGTATCTACTTCCTTACTTTTGATGAGTAGTTCCTATTTTGAACTATGGATGGTGGAGCCCTCCTATTATTCCATCTGTGGCAGATTTGTTTTTAATTGCTGAGCATCTGCAGTTGAAGAGGTTTGCAGTCCTTTTAAGCAGCTGAGCAAAGAATGAGCAGATGGTGTCAAATACAACAGTACTAAAAACCAAACAAAAAACGCTTTCCTAGGTTTGCTTTTTTTTTCTTTTTTTTAAATAAGAAATTCTTGGTTTGAGAAGGATACTACAATTAGCCCAGAGAAATTAAGCACATTCGCATATGCTGGTATTACAGCCTAAACATTCTTAATAGACCATTCTAGTCTTTTCTGAATAGTATTTTTATAGAATGAGTGTTGGAGATAAACATTGAGCAGAAAAGCACGTGTCTTTTGCTTAACAAGTAACAATAAGCAATGATTATCTTCACTGTCAATTAAACATAGCACCATTTCAACACATTACAGAAAAAGCCATTTTTGCTCTAAGAATTTTACATATTCCACTGAGACTGTTCCAGGTTTTATAGCTTTCACCTATTCCTATTTATAAGCAATGAAGAGAAGGGCAACTATTCAATGTGAGTAAATATCCCGGTTTCCCACCTCCTCATCTATCCAAGGTGGATGAAATCTCATGCAGGCATTGTGAAGATAAATATTATTAAAAGACTACAAGTGACTTGCATATACAATAACGGATGTCAGAAGTAGCCTACAGAAACAAGACGGGGGGGGAACATTTCTAAAATGACAGAGATAGCCAGCCTGCAACCATGCTCTAGTGTAATCAACTTCAGCTTCCTTTGACCATTCAGTAGCTCTGATAAACAGACTCACACCGGTATAACAAATAACTTGCATTTTGTTTCATTTCAGCAAAGCAATCCTTTATCTCCACGGAGTATCAAACCATACCTAATTGTTATCATGTCTCCACGATCTCCTTGAATGTACCAGCTGCAGTTTACAGCTGGAGGATAGTTCAATGGCCAAGAAGGACTATAGATGACTCCCCGTCTCTCTGTGTGCTGTTCCAGTTCTCCACTGCAAGCAGCTGTTAATAACGGGGGAAAAAATATTGTTGTTAATGGTTTGCCTAACAAACAATTCATATTAGCTACAAGAGCTTTCATCAATTTCTGGGGATTGCAGACAAATGAGATTCAACAGTTTTATCCTCTTACTGCTTTCTTCCCTGTCTCAGTTTTTTATTAAGACACCCACTCTACGTGTAGGTAAGCATAACCTGCATTTCAATGCAGGATCAATCAATAAACTTGTATTAATCTACCAAAGGTTACAATCAATATTACTGCATGGATCTGCCAAGAGGATGTAATACAGAAGTCCTTCTTTCCAGTTTCTCAAAGCCTGGGTATGTCACCCAGTGACTGAAGAAGATTCAGTGTAAAGTATCTAGAAGGTAATTTTGTTGTAACATGTTCCTGGACATGTTGCTTATTCTCTTAACTATACAACAGACCTGAAGAGTCTGTAATGGTTAAAAAAAAAAATCCCCAAAAAAAAAAAAAGAAAAAAGTAAACTGAACTCCAGTGTCAAATGTTTTCATTGAACACTATTAAGTCCTTTAAATTCCTTCTGAACTCCCATAAACATCAGAAATTTTCCAGACAGGGAAAGGAGCAAACAGGGCTAAATAAAGGCCAATATTTTCAAGCACTTTCAGACCTTCCTATGGAAAACAGCAGGCCAATTAAGGCTACATCAAATACTTATAATTTGTAATTAAGCAATTCAAAAATGAAAGTGGAATGTTTCAAGGACAAGTGGGAAAGCTGTTCTGATGGGAAAATGTACTCTCAGCAGACTACAAGAGGGGAAATTCTGTGTAATGGAATAGCTATTCTGAACATTCTTCAAAAATATTTTTAAAACTATTTTTAAAACAAGTTACTATCTAGAGCACAACTTGTAGACTGCAGCTGAATATTCAATTTTTGACAGGTTTACTTTCTTGTAGCTTAAAAAGGTGGTGAGGAAAAAAACGTCACCTATACCTCGTTTCCTCATACGCATACACGTCCAAATATACTGGGTTATAAATCACAGATTTACAGTATTGCTTGAAATTCAGCCACATAAATGCATCATCTTCAATTCACAGTCAGGATTAGATTCAGCTGCACTGGAGGGATGGGGTGAAGAAGTGCCGACAAAGCTGCTTGGCTGCAATCAAGTCAAGTGGCAGGGCTGCCTGCAGAACGCCTGGCTGGGGCTGGGGCCAGGCTGCAGTATACCCCCACCAGTAAAACTGGGCCTAGTACTATTCGGTTTGTTCACAGTAAGCACTTTTGAAGTGAGAGCCACGGGAATATAAAAAGCATGAGGTGAGTAACTTACCTGAGGCAAAACATATAAAAAGCCATTATTTTTACTCTCCAAGCAGGGCATTCCACTGAAACATATGCATATAATTCCTACTCGTTTCAAAGGCCACAACAGCATATAGAATACATAAACACACGAAAACATCTATTTTCCAAACAAATATTTTGCAGTAAGGCAGTTACAAAAAAACAAGAACATCGCTATCACACTTCTAAACAGAGAGGCTCCACGCTAGATGCTGGCAAAACACTGAGATGCAGATGCAATTACAGAACTACAATACCAAATGTAAGATCCAGAGGACTTTTCAACTCTAGTTCTCTAGATTGTTTAGGTCTTCATATGTGCTCCTCCACATGCTTGTCACTGCGTCATCGTATCCTAACAGCATAAGAGCACCTAGAGCTAGCAACCACGTACGAGGAGCTGGAAAGACTGCATTTCTAACTGTCAGATTACTAAAACTTCTGAATGGGAAGGAAATTGAACGCACAAAGCGGAAAGAGCCAATACACCAGACAACGCTATCCAGCAGCTTCCAGCAACAGCTCTGCAAATATTCCTGGCTCCTCTTGCACCGAACACTGTTCTGGAGTAATATCACTCACTCGCAGTATATGCATTAGAACAGCGAACAGAATCGTAATTACACAAAGCTTATTTTAGTTTCCATTCTGAGGAAGCTCCAGTCACACTGGTGACTCCGCATGAGCGCCTCCACTCACGCATTCATCAGTGCAGTTAATCAGAGCTTTTATCCTCCCAAATACTTGTTTCTCAGTTTTAGGAAGTATTTACAAAGATCCTGAGCAATAGTTATTTGAACTATGCCAGCCTTTCTGAAGTAACATCACTAGCATTCTTTCTTTTGCAATAATGTATAGTTTCCTAATTTGTAAGCAGTGGATCTGATGTGACAGTTCAGGTTCTCAGTGAGAAATGCTTTTTCCTATTAACAGTGCACATCTGCTATGAATGCGGGGCATGGAAAGAAGACCAGACAAAAGATTTTCCAGTTTAACAGAAGAACTGTAGCTGTGAAAATCTAAACATACAAGGAAGGTAAGGGCTGCACTTACACTCTATGTCATTTTGGGCAGTTCATCTGGCAACGGTCACTGCCACTCCATACTTTCCCATGGCTTTACCCCTGACACACAAAAAGCATTTCAGACTTGCCCTACTCAAAATTAAAAGGACAACTGCTTTGCTCTTACAAAGGCTCCTGATTCTAAGGGATCACTAATCCAAATTCATATTGCAAAAACATAATTGCACTATTTGAAGGATATGTCCACAGCGCCCTAAACCTATCGGGGCAAACTGGGGATGCACACCAGTGCACCCCCCCAAAAATACTACTGTGTTTACCTAAACCTTACTTAATTGCCTTAAGCTTTTGATGCCTTTCAGTTCCCATCAATGCTCGTTACTATTGTATTTGCAATATATCAATAGATCTCCTTGCTAACCAGTCGTCTGCCTCTCTACTCCTTGTGCACTGACTGCTGTGTGGCAGACAAAGTGTCCATGCACTGCTTTCAGTAGCTGTTCTTTCACCTACATAGATTTTGAAAGAAAAATCTGTACTAAACAAAGCCTTCAGTGCTGGCAACAAAACAGAAAAACCACACAAGGGCACAACTTCATACTGTTGGGGTTTCAGTGTCAATAAAGGGGCCTCCACTTCCCTCCTCAGCTCCTGGCCATGAAGACTGCAGAATCACATATGTGCCTAAGTATTGCATTATTAAGTTGGGCTTCGGCCTGACAGTGTGGTTCCTTAAGGAAAACAAACAAAAGCCTTTTCAAATTGCCAAAACATCTAAAGGAAAGGGAAGTCTCTAAATAGAAAGGTACAGTCCTGGATTCTGAAGGCTT